GGCCATTTCACAAAATGACAGAATATACCTAGTTGGAAGGGACTGACAAGGATCACTGAGTCCAACTCTAATCCCTGCACAGAACCATCCCCAAGAGTCAAGACTTGATGCTGTGACCATTTCCCTGAGGAGTCTGTTCCAGCCAACCTCTGGTTGAAGAACGTTCTTCTAATAGCCAGCCTAAACCTCCCCTGAGGTTTAGGCCATTTCCTCAGGTCCTGTCACTGGTCAACACAGAGAAGAGATCAGTGTCTATCCCTCCTCTTCCCCTCACAAGGAAGTTGTAGACACTGTGAAGAGGTCTCCTCTCAGTCTCGTCTTCTTCAGGCTGAACAGAACAAGTGACCCCAGCTGATTTAGGTAATCTGTCCCTTTAACAGCCTGTATTCAAAACTAACACACTCAGATCCTCCACAATCCATTCCTTTTGAGATGTCTAAAAATCGTAACCACTTATATTTCTAAATCCCTATAAACCAACTTCATACCTTCTTGCCATTAGCATTTTCATGTGAGTTATCTACAGCCTGACTTTCTTGCGTATAGGCATTTCCAAAACATGCCAAATATACTAGCCAATACACCTCCCCGTATTTCTGGCTATATGAGTCTCTGAGGAGGGTTCTTAATGCTCAGGCTAGAAGTACTTTCTCAAAAAAATTGTCAGTGGCATTCCAGTGAGTAGAAGGCACTGGGAGAAGAAAGATTTGAGTCCCCTCCCTTATGTAGGAAAGATGTCACTATGGGATAGTCTTTGGCAGAAGGCCCCCTGGCCTCCAGTTTCCCAGGAGAAAGCCTGAATACCTAAGCTAGAGGTTTTCTTTCCCTGTGGGTGACTCCTTCACTACAGTCTGAGACCAAATATTTGCACTGTCAACAGATGAATGACATTTTTGCTCTCTTGTTTTTTAATTAAGAAAGAAGGAAATGGAACAAAGGAGAGAAATAAAACCTGATGAAAAATTCTGAAAACAGCATCTCAATAAGCTGGGTCATGCCTACTATGCTGGCTTTTATGAAAAATTGTCCTGCATCCAACCTATGCAACTGACTATCTTGGCTGGGTGGGAAAGGGGCAACCTTACTGGATTATTTTAAAAAAAAAACCCGTTAATTATAGGTAAGTTCAGTTTTAGAATGGCTAAAAATATTTGTCATCAACATCAGAAAATTCGAATCCCCTTGATTTTTCATGTCAAAATTGTATTCAACTTGAAATTTAATATAAGTATATTAAAATATCAGAGAAAGAAGTTAAGTGAAAAAAATTTCTCTGATGTGAACTAAAAAAAAAAATGTAGAAATTTCCCCTTTCACCACTCTGTTTTAATTTCTTTTTTTCTACTATAGCATAAATAACAGAGGTACATTGAATACACACAACATAAACTATTAACTAAAACACTTTCTGAAAAAAAAAATTACTGTGAGGCTGCCTAGGACGGCCCTGACAAGTCCGTGGAGCAGGTTGAAGGCACTGTCATAGCCCTCCTCTATGCAGACAATCCAGCATCTCAGTTTTCCACCAGAAGTATTCCAACATGGTCATTTGCATCAGGGGAAATTCAACTTTCAGGGAACATCAAGAGGCACATTACAATATTGTGACCTGATGAAGAAAAACAGGATTCATCCTTCCCACCATGCAGCTCAGCTGACACCCTCTAGAGGACAAACCCAATGAACTTGAAAATCGAGTTAGTTTGTTTCCAAATTCCATTTCACTGTTGATGTGTTTTCAATTTTTATGTTTGTTTGGTTTTATAACATACCACACTTCAAAATAACAGGTATTTATTTTCCTATTCTTTAATTTTAGTATTTAATATTAAGCTATACAGGATCCAAATAAATAGAAGAATTTTTAAAAGGTAATTGAAATTAAGTAATAAGATATCCACTGCTTTTTTCTCATTGTTCAAACTTCCTTAAAAGAAACTCAGTAAATCAAAATCATTGGGTTAAATACAATGGTTCTATTGATCTAGAAAGCTGGCAATGCTAACCAGTATTTAATATTCTTAATGCAAATGATGGGATTTTATTTGAATGCTGCTGGGTTCTCCAAACAGGGCAATTGCCATTATGTCAGTGTAGGTCCTGTCTGAGTGAGGAGAGGTTACCCTACTCTTTTGAATAATGGTGAGAATATCCAAATTTCTTCTTTTCTTCCTTAACTATTGTGCATGCCTGGCAGAGGATTTAGCTGTCTGTTGTATGTTTGTTTGGAAACAGCACAATTAAAACCAGTTTAAAATAAAAAGCAATGAAAAATGTCTTTCTCCTTTAACAGTATATGACTGAATGGCCTTCAGAGAAAACGTATTCCTATTGGAATCTAAGCCATTAACTGCTCCATGAAAAACAGCAACTATGACAAGAAGTTCAGCCAAAATATTGGTGTTTGTTTCCTGCAGAGTGTAGTCTCTCTTTGCTTGACCAAGCTGTTGACAGTTGCAAAACTTCCCTCTGCACAAAAGCCATAACCTGTTCAAGTCTGTTTTCTAGACGTGACGGTACTTCAAGAATCCTATGCTTGATTCTACCTGCCAGGAAATACTCCTATGCAGACAACTGTGAAAGTTTAGTGTTGTGTCAATTATATGTCACCATACTTGAAGCAAGGAACATTTTGTACTATACATTTATCTCTATTGCATTTAAGTGCCAAAGAAAAAGGATATTTGCAAACAATTCCAGTCAATTCTGCAGTATTAGACTAGGCTGAGCTACTTCAGTAAGACTTCTAAGTACTTCTCATCACTAGTAGTAAGTATGAGATATAGATCTTGAAAACAAACAAAAACAATAAAATCCGAAAAAAACTCTACACTATGACATAAACTTTATGTAGTTGAATTGGAAGCATACCTCATTTTGTGGTGTTTTTATAAATAACATGAAATTATGTACCAATTATATGTGATGTTTATTTTGGCAACTTCCACTTTCCAAAGTGACCAAGTAAAGGTTTTTTACTTGTAGGTAAAATCCTCTTCCATAGAAATTAATAGGTTTTTAGAAACCAGCCAGAGTAAAGTTCCTTTTCTGTTTCTAATCATAAATTATAACAAATCTGAATTTTCAAATGATCAGTACTATATTTTCATTGAATCCTTAATCCTTAGTGTTAAGCCTTTAGAAGTTACATTTTATACAAAGGGCATGTGGCTGAATATTTCTTGTGGCTTGCTTAAGGAAATCGCTAGTTCCAGTCTTATGCTTTAGCTACACCTAAGTATACACAAGTTTTTATATACAAAGTTATATGTAAGGTAAAGGAAACACTAGAATATGTGGAACATGGATGCATTACGTGGCTGGTAAAGAACAAGTAAATGAATATTGGCAAGTGAATGTCTCATAACTCAGAGCCAGAGTCTGACCACAGTTAACACTGCTATAAGTCAAGAGGAAAAATTTTGGAATAGCTGGAATTTTTGCAAGTCAGTGCAGAAGCAGCATAAACTAGTATCAACATCTGCCCATAAAAGTATGTGATCAGATACACTAAATAAAATGCAGGCAGCTGTTTACTATATGCACTGACCCAGCAGTGAGAATTCCACATGGAAAGAAAGAAGGCAGATGAAAAAACCACAAACTGTTATAATAAAGAGGCCAAATGTTCACTTCACTAAGGATTAACATTTGCATTTGCAAGTAATATGTCCGTTACGTTTGCATTGACAAGAAATATCTCTGTTGCAAATGGATACTCTAACTACAAAGAGACTAGCAAGAAAACAAGTAGAATATAATAAATAATTTATATGGTGTGCATTATGCTTATCAGAAAGAATACATAACAGACATCCCAGTTCTCTTTTTGCTTGCCAGGAAATAATCGTTGACACAAATTTTCTATGTAAAACCCAGCTTTTATACCACAATAGACAGTAAACGCTATGACTGAGCCTGTCCTTTTCAGAGTGTTTTGGCATACTACCAAAAGAAACAAAATCTGAAGAAACCATTTCAAGAAAACAGAGAAATAAACCAATCTCAAGATCAGAGAGGGATTATTGTCAGATCTGTGTCCCTTAGTGAGTTGGTATTGTTTATTAGCATAAGTCATGTTTCTGTCCTGAAGAGGTTCACTTTGGCGTTTATGGTTGGAGTTTATGAAAGCTGAGAGTCCAGCCTCTGCTTTTTTTTTCCTCAGTTCCCTCCTGGCACAGCATCTGATTCCTGTGAATCTGAGGGGAATGGTGACAGTGAGAACAGCTACTTCCCATTTCTTACACAGCAGAGGAGCTGCTTTTCGTGTGCTGGTGTCCTCAGTCAGAGGGGGAAGAAAGTAAAAACTAGGACTAATATTTCCCACTGTTCTGTGTTTATCACATTAACCAGCAGCAGACTCGGCCTGGCTTGTAAGTACAGAACCTGATCCAAAGCCCACTGAAGTCCCTTACATATGTGTGTGCCTCACAACCATGACTACTAACTTAATCAAACAATTTTTATATAAAGATGTTAAAACATATAGAAAAGTGTTGAGAGAAAGGCAGTCTTTTGGTAATTTGGGGTTGGGGTTTTTTTTTGGACCAGAGTCTGACCTAAAGCACACTGTGGCAGCAGGGTCTTTCCTCAGTACTCTTTGGACCGGACCCTTAAAATATTTTCACAGTAGTATCACTACCATATTACATGATTGCTTCTTTGCACCCTGCACTCTGTTGGAAGGTATTCAAAACAAGCCCAAATTTATACCAAAACATTTGCCATGTGTTTCAGATAATGTATAATAAACTTTGAACACAACATAGCAGATTTAATGGCCAACATTTCCTTTTAAACTCACTTATCTTTCTCCCTCCCACTTCACTCTCACATCCCTGCACCCTCACACTTTTTCTGACAGCATTGCTTTAGTACCTTCAAAAAAATAGCCTCAGCCAGTGAAGCAAATACAATCACCTTATGAGGTGTGACTAACTTTGAGTGCAGACTTTGTCCTTTGCTGCTCTTTACAGATGACACAGGAGCCCTTGTTGGCCCTGTAGCTGGGAGTGAGCAAGTGAAACAGAAACATGGCATTTGTCAGCTTTTTGGTCCCCTGCTTTGTGATAGGCATTGATATTGCTTTCTCTTGCCAGAGTGCTGTCGACTTCGTGGGTGCCAGTTCTCCAGGAGACATCGTTATTGGAGGCTTGTTTGCAGTTCATAGCGAAATGCTGCATCCGGAAGATCCCATCAAGCCAGTAATTCAGAACTGTGCCAGGTGAGTAATACTGGAAATTACATATCTAGCAAAGAAGAGGTCGCTGAAATTGGGCATGTAACTCTTACATTAAGGTGAACAAATTCTGGCCCTTTTGCTTTTCTTAGTCCTTAAAAATACCTCGGACATCACACAAAATTCACATAAATTAATACAGGGTGATAAAGCATGGCCAAGTTACAGTAAAAAATACTGTGGCTGCCTGAGGAATGGAATGAGCATTTGATCCTATTTCAGTCTTCATAGATAATCTAGTAATCTTGGAGGTTTGTGCTGAACAATCATTTAATTTCCATGGAATTGCTAATTTGCTATAGGAGTGAAGGACTCTGTTGTGCAGCTTATCATTTTTTGTTAAGAAGTTGAACCCACATGATTTGACATGTTCTGACACATTTTACCTAAGCCCATAGTCAAGTATGCCTCCCACCTCACAGGGCACCTACAATAGTACCTTGCAGACGGCATTGTAATTATTTTTATAATTACTGTAATTATTACTCTCTGAATTATAATCATGGTATTATGTTACATGATAGACTACATATAAACACCATGTGATGAAGGTATTCAGGTTCAGAGTGTGCACCAGAATATTTATTTTGTTGGGCTCCAAATCCTGCTGTGCTTGAAACATCCATTTTTCTGGAATGCATGAGAAGGAAACCTGGTGAAGAACTTCGTTTTAAGTATAACAAAGCTTTCCTAAGCCCAGGAATCCCAAATATGCATTTTGTTTAATTTAAATACAGGTTCACATCCTCAAATTTTATTTGAATTTTGCATGCATCTTAATCCCACATCTGAATCTAATAATCAGATAGACATGCAGGCATCCATTTGGATTTACAAACAAAATGTTGATAAAGTTGATAATTTTGTCAGTCTTCCCTTATTTGTCTACAGAGTCATAAATTGTCTCAGGTCCATCTGAAATTTAAGTTAGTTCACAAGATTTGTAAACTTTAGAAAAGTTTGACTGAGAGTAGGGTTGGTTATAGTACAGACATTTTTTGCTAGCAGAATTCTGATTAAGCATCTGATTTAACATCCACTGGAGATGAGGGAAATAGCTGTACTAACTTTTGCAGGTCTAGGTAGGATTTTGGAAACATCAATGCAATCACTAGAGACTTCCTTTTCTTTGCTTGATGCATTTGGTGAAAGCAAATACTTTTTTTAAAAGGCTTACTGGACAGATGTAATAAATTGGAATTTTTTAACTGACATTGACAGATACTTCTCAAAGATATTACTTGCAAATTTTCATGTAGCATGAAAATTAAATTTTTAGTCCCCTTTTTTTCAGAAAAACACTTTTTTTTTTTTCCAGGCATATATTATGTTTTGTGTTCATTTTCCTTAATCTCCCATTAGGTGAGATAAAAATACATGGTTTCTAATCTTTTGTACACTAAAACCCAAGAAAATCACACAAAACTTACTACCCATAATTTCTTCTCAATAGTTGTCAAATTCTAAGGGAGATGCTCAAAACTGACTTTGCTTCAACCTTGTTTCCAGCAATGTTTTTCTAAAAAATACCTCCTGTGTTTCCTGACAGCTTTGAAATTCAAGTTTTCCTTCAGACACTTGCAATGATACATGCTATTGAAACAATCAACAATTCAACGCTGTTATCTGGAGTTACTCTGGGCTACGAGATATATGACACGTGTGCAGAAGTTACAAAAGCCATGGCATCTGCTCTGAGGTTTCTGTCAAAATTCAATTCTTCTGAGGATGCTGTAGAGTTCAAGTGTAACTACTCAAACTATATCCCGAGAATTAAGGCAGTCATTGGAGCCAGCTACTCGGAGGTGTCGATGGCAGTTTCAAGGCTGTTGGCTTTGCAACTAATCCCACAGGTAGGTTTTAGGGAATTGAATTATTTTGAACAGAGGTTCAAATTTACCTGAGAATAAAGCTGCATTTCTGATCATAGGAATTGCAAGAGCCACGTGTTTACTACAGGGCAGGATTTGGCTCAATCTAAGGACATCAGGAGGGGTGGACTTCAGCTCCAAATGGAGGACTTGATTCACTTGCCAAAACAAAAGCAGTAAGGGATATTTTATATGCCTGAGGCACATGCATCCAAGTGCTCTTTCAGGGTGATGCTGGGCTCTTGTCAGCCTGGCGTTGCCATTAGTCAGTCCTGTTTGTGCCAGTTACTCCAATGTACCTTGGATGACACTCTAGGACTTTGGTCAGGCAGCAAAATTGCAGCTGCCACGTCTAGTCTGGCAGGTGGTGAATATGACAATACTCAATCTCAAACTGAAAAAAAAAAAAAAAAGAGGGACTAAGTCAAATCTAGACAGAAATCTGGGAATTCTTTTCTGCCCAAGAGAAATTAATTATTAGAGTCAGATAAAACTATGGACAGAAAAGTGAGGAAGGCTGCTATAAAACACAGATTTACTCCTGTTACTCCTCAAGCAGTAGAAGAGAAAGAACACAACCATTTAGATCCACACAGTCATTCCAGAAGCGTTGTTCTTCATTTCTGACCTCTCTAGGAGTAGTACTGCCCCACACTTGTGCCTTGGCCAGTGCTTATGTTCCTGCTTTCACCATTGTAAAAGAGTAAGGGTCAAAGCTGGGACCAACATGAAAAAAGCAGATAACTTCCACACCATCCTGTCTTGCACTTTGGTTTTTGTGAATTGATATAAATTAACTCTGCAAAGTAGCAACATAGTAACCAAACACTTGGAAAAGACGTAAAATCTGAACCAAAGATAACTTCTAACTGAATCTTCTCCTCTGCAATGGTAGGAAGTAATTCTGACCTTCAACGCCACCACAGGAGCTATAGTAAGTACGAAAACTGAAGTGCCACACTTGAACATAACTAAAAGGCAAGTGGTATGAAACAAACCTGCATTAGGGCATAGATGGAAAATGGGACCCAGCAGATTTTTCTTATCAATAGCATCTGCGATCTTCTGACACCCGTAAGATTTGGTATCACCTCCAGGCAGGTGACTCTTATTTTGGAAAGCTCAGATTTATTTTTTAAGAACCATCAAGCAACGTAGGGGGAAAAGTTCCATCAAACAAATAGAGAAGGATTAAAACTAGAAAGATTGGAATAGCAATGTTCAATTTATGTTTTTCTAGCTACATTCACAAGAAAAAGATAGTAAACATTTTGTACAAAAGAATTAGAGCATTCTGTACTATTTGTTAGTCTTTGTTTTTCTGGGAGATTCTTCAAACAGATTTAATGATTCTTTTAACATATATAATAATTAAATGTTGGAAAGAGTATATGTATATGGATAAACCATACTAACACACTCAATGATAGAAAAATACTGCAATATATAAAAGCACTAGGAATTTGAATAGTAACTCAAAAAATAGTTAATGCTTCCAGTGTTTTAACTATTGTTTTGAATAGTATGTTGATAGTATCTGAACAGAGTAAACCAAAATCTTTATACCATCATAACTGTCATATCCATTTTGAAAGGTTTTGTTCTCTGCCTTCACTGAATTATGCTGATAAGGACGAAAAAAAGTGGAACCGGTACTGGACACAAGTCTGAATCCTAAGAGCAGGGAGAGGGAACTTGTCCCATTTGGCTGTAGCTTGTTGATGCTCACTCACAGGAAGAAGGGAGGCTGGGTCAGGCTGGAAAAAAGAGCAATTGTGGCAGCTTTGGATCTCTTGGGGGAGACCAACTCTGTAACTGAATTGTTCGCTCTTCCTAGGTCAGTCCTGCATCATCAGCTGAAATCCTCAGTGACAAAATCAGGTTTCCTTCTTTCTTCAGGACTATCCCCAGTGATTTTCATCAGACAAGAGCAATGACCCACTTGATCTGTGAATCTGGGTGGAACTGGATTGGAGTAATAGCCACTGATGATGACAATGGGCGGTTCGCTCTGGAGAGCTTTGGGGTCCAGGCCATGGCAAACAACGTTTGCATAGCTTTTAAAGAAATGTTGCCAGCCTATCTCTCTGACAGCACCTTTCACACCAAAGTTGATCATGCAATTGAGAAGATTGTCAAGGAAACAAGAGTAAATGTTATTGTGGTCTTTATGAGACAGTTCCATGTGCTCAAATTATTTAAGAAGGCAATTGAGAGGAACGTTAATAAAATCTGGATTGCAAGTGATAACTGGTCAGCTGCAGTCAAAATCAGTACAATTCCCAATATCAGACAGCTGGGAACCATTGTGGGATTTGGATTTAAAAGTGGAGATATGTCCTCATTCCAAAACTTTCTGAGAAATCTTCATGAAAAGCCCACTAAAAACAACAAGTTTTTACGTGAATATATTATGCTTTTGTCAGTTTGTGCAAATTTGGAATATCACGATTTTCAAACATGCATTTCAAACCAGTCCCAGGATGATCTACTGGAAGATGTTGAGAATAAACACCAGATCTGGAGAGATGATTTTTTGAATGCTAACATTGAACCAGGATTTATCCAAAGTACTACACTTGCAGTCTATGCCATAGCTCATGCCATTAAAGGACAATGCAAAAACAGAAACTGCAAGGATCCCTCTGCCTTCACTCCCTGGGAGGTAAGATGTTAACTTTTTCAGGTCTTATAATCTCTGCCTAACTTTCACCTAATTTTTTGCTCCCACATTCCTGGATTTTCTAGCTCGGTCCTTTTACTAAATGACATTTTATTCCTCCTCCTGCCAGAGCAGCAGTATCTAGCTGCTGCAGTGATAACTACACTCCAGTTTTGTCTCCCTTTTTTTGGCTTATGTGTTCTGCTGTAGATATAGATAGCTACTGGATGGTGGTAACTGCATAACCACCACCTCCTCCTTGATGAGTACAATAACAATGGCTGTAAATATGTGATTCCACAAGTGGAGAAGGGATCTTTAGCTTCCGGGCTTCATTAACTACCCTAACACTTCTTCCATCACCTCCAAAGAGCACATAGAGTAGGTACCAGCTCGAATGAAGGCTCCATTCTGTAGGCTTCTTGACAGAACATCTTGCTAGCTACTCATGTAGGATAAAATAAATTTTGTGTAGTCACTCTACAGTTGACTTATCAGCTCTTCAGCTACTAGTAGTTGGTCCTGTTGCTGTAAACCACTACGTGTAATACACATCTATGAGTGCTTTTGAGAGATGGGGATACTGCTGGATAGGAACATTCACCAAAGAGTTTCAATTTTCCTCTCTCTCTCTCACCGTTGTATCTGTTTTGTCTTAATTCAAGTATTTTCCTCTATAATTAATTTCTACTTGAAACTGAAAATGCAACACATTTTCAGTTTCATTTTGATTCATACTGAATTGACTGGTTGGAAAATTAGACATAATCTTTAAGATAGGTTAGGTACTCATTATCACACTCAACTGGGTGGGAAAAGAAGAGGAAAAATCAGACAAGTAAACCTGACCTGACCTTTTACCCAAGAACCTGCTTGGGAGTATTCACTTTTACACACTTTTACTCAGAGGATTAAACAAATGTTAATTTAAAAGTCAAACAACCACTCTGACTTGCTCTGACCTCTTATCCTAGGTCAGGGCAGGTCAAACCAAGATAGGGGATTTGAAAAAAACCAACACCAACAAACCAACCAACCAACAACCCAGTAACAATTGGACTCTCACATGAATTTGTAAATGCAAATGAGACAAATTCAGGACTGCTCTGTAGGAATGCAACTTTATGGAGCTGTATTTACATCATTGTTAAGCCAAATCCCAAACCATCAAAATTAAAAATCCTTTTAAGTTGTTAAACACTTGTGAAGAAAACTGAAAGCAATAATTATTTTCCTTGTGTTGTTTTCATTACATACTTCTTCTACACTACATTTAAACTTTCTAGAAAGGGATTTATGTATATAGATAAAGCTTAGGATCCAAATAATCCATATCACACATCTTTATATACAGAGAAACAATAGAGTGATTGGTGTTACAGACTGCACAAAAATAATCATCAGTTACATCAAAATATTGCTAAAAATAGAGCTTCCATCTGAAACCCTAGATATATTCAAAAAGCTCTGGTGTCCTCGTATTGCTAGAGAAATTGGAAAAGTAAAGATGAGAAATATTAAAAGACAAGTCTGAGTATGTACAATCAAAAGAAATCCTATTCAGTTCCACACAACTATGCAGCATCCAAATTGAATGCACTACTGGTTAGAAACACACTGGTTCTTCATAAGTTATACAAACTCTCAAAAAAATTAGATTATACATGAAATAATGGCATATTATATACACCAGATGTGTTACACATATTTGACAAAGCCTATTGAGGCAGTATACCTTTCAGCATGTTTGTTAAATGCTACGAATGTTACAAATGGATCCATGTAAGAGCATGACTTTCAAAAGCAATTGAACTCAGCCTTTCACAAAACATTAAATTTTTTCCTTGTCAGTTAATCCCTGTTGCCAAAAAGTCATTAGGCCTGCAAAATAATAGAACCTTTGTTTTGATTAAGAACCACGGTAGCAAATGGAAGTTCTTCAACGATATCCCTATGAATTGAGAGTGGGTTATATCTGCCTTAACCTGCTCTTTCTATATTCACAGAGACCTTTTTGATCTGGCTGTTTGTGAGTAGGGAGGCAGAAATTTTACCCTGTTGAACAGAATGGATTGCAATATGAAGCTGGACAATTGCCTTATCAAGCATTCTTATTTTGGTATTTCCTATGACCTATCAAATATGGCCTTGCGGTTTATTGCCGTTGTGCCATTGATCTCTTCATCTGAGCAAACTGGCACATATTGTTCATTCAACAGTTCTGAGTCTCCCCTTGCCATACACAAATTCAGTCAGAGTCACATCTGAGAAAAATGCTAGATATTTCCAGACATACTGGGGGAATTTACTCTGGAAGAAAGTGTTGCCCAGATTGCCTCTGATGACAGTAAAGTGATAGCAGGAGTACCACTCACCCTTGTTCTTTACAAAAAGGGGAGTGTCAAAGGACCATTAGCTCTTGCAAGCAAAAATATTTTTTCTCCTAACATTATACCAAAATTTCCATGGCTGCAAAAGAATACTAATCTGAGTATTTGTGCACACTGCATAGAGTTAGGAAATTATTAATTTTTTATTAATAGATTTTTTAAGGTCAACAGGATTGTCTGTATATGTAATTCTGTAAACAGCTATAAAGATGAATTTAGATTTTAATACTTTTCTTAGTCCTAAAAGCATTTCTTTTTAACTTGATTTTACCATACAAATGTTAAATTACTCAGTTCGTCACACTGACATGATACTGATGTATGTTATCATTTCTTATACTTATGTGCAGCTCCTTGAAGAACTTAAAAAAGTTGTATTCATTGATGATGATAAAGAAGTCAAGTTTGACTCCAATGGAGATATGAGCACCAGTTATGATGTACTTCTTTGGAAAGAAATCGATGGCCACATGGAAATCACCACTGTGGCAGAATATGATGCAGAGAAAGGTGACTTTATCTTTGAGGATGAAGAGAAAAAAAAAGATTTTCTAGATTTAAAGGTAATTTTTAATTTATTGACATAACGTGAAATTTGATTCATATGATTTCTTCTCCCTCCGGCATTTGCAACTGAATGTGTCAGCCAGAAATCTCTCTTGTAGTTTAATGTTCTCCTTTAAGAGTGAAGAATCCTTTTGGAGTATATTTGATCACTTTCATGCATCCTGAGATGCATATTAGCCTGTGAGCATCAATTTAAAATTTATTTATTTCTCTAGAATGCTCCTAGAAGGCTTCCTAAGATGAGAAGCTATGTCTGTCCTAGGGATGCCACTCAAGAATCTTGAAAAGGGATCTTAAAATAAGAAATGACTGTGTACAAAAAAAACCCCTCTCTAATTAACCACAATTTTTTTTCCCCTTTTTTACATGAAGACTCATATCTATTGAGTTTATTGTTTAAAAAGAAAAGAAGATGCTTTGTTGTTTATTTGGTCCTGTTAGAGCTGGGGTCATCATGGCTACATGAGTAGGTGGTGCCATTCGTAGCCCCAGCACTGGTGTACACAGAACTAGTGTGTGGTCCTGGACAGTTCCAACTGGATAATCTGTTATCTGTGCATGGCTGGAGGTCTGAGTTCATGATGCAGCTCCCCACTAATTGGACAAGGAGAGACTGCTTTACCAAGTGGGTTGAATTCTAGTCTCAGCATGTGAACTCAGTTGAGGACAGAAGAAAACCTCAAATCTTGCCCCTCTTTGTGGTGCAAGCAAACGTTCAACATAACTTTCAGATTCCCTTAAAATATGGATGATACCAAAAAAAAAAAGAAACAACCCCACAGTACAAATTGCAGCATTACTGGAGGTTTATATTAATGTTTTTTTAGAGATTTTGTTTGTTTGTTTTTTATTCTTTGCACACTGCAGAAAGTTCAGTCAACATGTTCCCAGCACTGCAGGCCAGGCCAGATGAAAAAGGTTACGGAAAGTCCACATACATGCTGCTATGAGTGTGTTTACTGCCCAGAAAACCATTACAGCAATCTAACAGGTAAAGAATTGTGATCCAAATAAAAGTTTATTTAGACATCAGTACAATTGTTCTGTTTATATATAATGTGCCTTGACAACCTTGGGTTTAACTTTGGAAGGGGATTTAAATATTTGTTTATGAACAGTTTCCCGTAAAACTTGCTATAAATGCTTTTTAGGAGACCAAACTTAAAGCAGTTAGATTGGCCAGCTAACTAGCGTTATCCTTTGCTAGGATGGAAATTCTGGCTGATTTATCAGTGAGACTGACTCTCATTAAAATAGAGTCTTGCCTCCCTGTCTTTCCATAGTACACCCAGTCCAATAAGGAAGAATTTCTTTACTGTGAGGGTGGTGAGAGACTGGAACAGGTTGCCCAGAGAAGTTGTTGTGGATGCCCCCTCTTTGGAAGTGTTCAAGGGCAGGTTGGATGGAGCTACCTGATGTAGTGGAAGGTGTCCCTGCCTCTGGCAGGGGTGGTTGTAACTAGATGGTCTTTTAAGGTCCCTTCCAACCCAAACTCTTCTATGAGCCTATGCATCTATGAAGTTCAAGCGTTATGTATTTTGCTTACCAGAATTGTACAGTAATATTTTCTAGTATCAAATCTGATGTGTACTTTACCAGTGGTTCATTTATAGGTTTAAGCAAAAATTTTTAAAGCAGAAAATTAAATATGGAGGAGAGAGATGGAATTAAGAAAACTGTGGTGCTTTGTACTTTTAATATCCTGAGAGCAGAAGGAAATTAAATTTTACCTTCTTATTCAATTAGCTGTGAAATGTCTCCATATCAGAGGACAAGAATTTCAAAGCAAAAGCACCTTTCAAATCATAAACTAAAGCAATGTTTCTTCTTGTTATTGTATTTCAAAAGCTATCTGTAATGAGCATGTAGGGGTGTCTTCTTGTCAAAATAGACAAATAAAAGAAAAATAGTTCAAATTTTTTGCAAGAGAATTGATTATTTATTGTTCAGGTTTTAGTAAAAGTTTTCCTGTCCAGAGCTCTGGCCAGGTCACATATTGCTAGTCAGTGATGACCAAGACAATTTTAGAACCCTGGTCATTCTCCCTGTCCTCTCCCTGTCCCTGGCTGCAGGAAACCCTTGCTCCCAGCTGGCAGGCAGTTCTGTCAGTGCCACCGCAGCCACCGCAGCTCTGCAGCTCCTCCACCTGGACGGCGACAGCAGCAGTCAGATGCAGTCAGACACGTCTTTTCCTCTTAGTAGCCCTTCCCACGTTGCTCCTGTATCTCAAGGCCGATAAAACACTTCGCAGTTTATTTACTTTGTGTTCTTAAATGATCTTCCTTTTTTCTTCCAGATATGGATTACTGCTACCGATGTAACAACAAAACCTACTGGGCTCCCATCAACAGTACCACATGCTACAAAAAGACAATCTATTTCCTCACCTGGACTGACTGGTTTGCTGTTTTCCTCCTCCTTCTGTCTGCTTTCGGGGTTGTGTTAGTTTTGTCAATTTGTGTAATATTTACTAAAAACTTGAACACACCAGTTGTAAAGGCATCTGGTGGTCTGACTGTCTGCTATATTATTCTCTTCAGTCACTTCTTAATTTTTTTGAGCACCATCTTCTTCATAGATGTACCCACAGAATTCAAATGTAAAACTAGGCAAGCACTCTTTGGCATAAGTTTTACACTCTGCATTTCATGTATTTTAATGAAGTCACTAAAAATTTTACTAGCCTTCAGCTTTGATCCCAAGCTTCAGAATTTCCTGAAATGCATGTATAAACCTATTCCCACTGTAGCCACCTGCACTGGAATTCAAGTTATCATTTGTACCTTCTGGCTAATATTTAGGACACCTTTTGTAACCCAAAATTTCTCAATCCCAAGAGTAATAATTCTGGAGTGCAATGAGGGGTCTATTGTAGCTTTTGGGATTATGCTGGGCTACATCGCCGCTCTAGCCTTTATTTGCTTCATATTTGCCTTTAAAGGTAGGAAATTGCCAGAGAACTACAATGAAGCTAAATTCATCACTTTTGGCATGCTAATTTACTTCATAGCATGGATTGTATTTATCCCTGTCTATGCAACTACATTTGGCAAATACTTACCAGCAGTGGAAATCATCGTTGTTTTAATATCCAATTACGGAATCCTCTGCTGCACTTTTCTTCCAAAGTGCTATATCATCATTTACAAGCAAGAAACAAACACAAAATCTGCCTTTCTCAAAATGGTTTACACGTATTCCTCTAAAAGTGCAGGTAGTGTTACTGTTAGTCAGGTTTCTTTGGATTCAAAGTCTTCTAGCTTCCGAGCTCCTATCTCAGACTCGTGTAAAACTGACAAAAACTCTGTGAATGGAAACTGCCAGTTCCAAGTGCCAGGGCAGCCACTAATAAAAGGCAAGGTTCTTCCTAAAAATGCTGCCAGGAAAAGAGTCTCCAGCATATGACTGGCCAGTGGTCAAGTACCGGAAGATAAAAAGCCATCTTAGAGAGCTATTTATCTCTCAGATCTCTTTTCTTTTGGCATCCCCAAGGAGAGCAGGACATGTGAAAACTCTTGTTCTCCTGTACTTAAGCAGTTATCCATTACCAAATCTGAGAGGCTTTCCTGGCTCTGAGAGTCCAGTCCTTGCTCCTGCAGGGACCTGTGGGAACCTATTCTGCAATCTCCCTTCCTCAAGTGAGACAGAAGAATCACAAAAATATTATTTCTTACAGTCACATAGGTGGGACCACATGAGTTTACTCCACTTCTTTTGCCTCTGATACACAATTCTTTAAGGAGCTATTCTTCTCATCTGGCCCCATTTCACAGATCAAAGAGAACCTTGTCCCAGCCTTTGTTTGCTAGGCTAAACAAGCCGAGTCCTTTAGTCTCCACTTTTAAGATAGGCTTTCCATTCTTCTGAACTTCCAAATGTAACCTTTTTCAGCTGGTATCAGTGAATCTCTTTTTTTTCCTCCCCAGAATTGCACGCCTTATTCCAGATGAGTGCTGCAGTAACCTTTAAAGTTCCTTGTATTTATCAGGATGGTAATGAACTAGAGACAGGTCTATAAAAGAATTAAAGAATTTCTCGGGAGCTCTGTAGTTATACATATGTTCATCTACGTTTTTTCTCCATACTCAGAGGAAATACGCTGATTCATCTCGTGCACCTCCTCTGATGCATGAAAAGGGAGCCTACTGTGTTTGTCCCCAGATGTCCTCTTAGTTGAGAGTGTAAGGACAATGTGTAATGTCAAAACTTAAAACCACTTATTGATTCCTCTCATTAGGATAAATAGTGTAATTACCAGTATCAGCATGAGTACATCCTGGGAATTTTGGGGGGTTGTATACAAGTTAAAAAAATCTGATTTTCAATAAGAACATGCCAATGCACCATTACAGTACATAGAAATAGCACAAGATTGAACTGGCATGATCTGCATTGGATGAGTCTCTGCTCTGTAGCAACATGAGCACAGCTGTGCTGTACCTTCTGCATGAGAGACAAAAGGCAAATTCAGAGAAGGAGGAACTCTTCTGTCAGGGTAATGGTACCACAGAGCTTTTTCAGATTCTAAACAGCAGAGCTACACTGTCAGTCCGGGACCAGGAAAAATACTTTTCCATATTCTGGAAGCCTGAAACATATTTTAACTTCTGTGAGATGTTACTGTGAAATAATACTAAATTCCTTGAGTTTTGCCCATGCTTCTGTTTCGATTTAGAATAACTGGATGTTGTAGAAGAGCAAAATAAAAGCAGTAGATTTTGTGTTACGGAGGCATGTTGTGCTATGGTTATGTAATTTATATCTATTTTTATAAAATTTTTATTTATATGTTGTAACTCTTATCCATATTTTTCTATTCATATTTTGTTAAAAATAAAAAATAAATCACATTTCAAAAATGGACATGGGCGATGAAATTATGACGCGTAGACTATGTACTGTGTATCTATGAAGACATTTTAAAGTAATTTGAATGACAAGAGTGCAATTTACCTACAGACTTGTGTAACTGCAAACATTCTGTTGCTGATTGAAGGAATGAAGTTTTATGCATATATATTTATATGATGAATACTGTTCATACATCAGTTGTTGCAAATACTTTTCTGGATATGAAGTTATGTATAATAAGGTTACAATTACTTCAATTTGACTGCCAATGCAGCAAGAAGTCTGTCCCTAAAAGAGAGAAGCAAAACTTACATTGCATGACTGTCAGCAATCAGCTGGTTAGAAAAGTTAATTTGGCTCAAATGTCATGCCTGTATTTATTGTTTCCAAAAGCTTTGAGTATAGCGTGTCTTAAATCTATATGAAAGGGAATGATTAAAGCCATATTGTTATTTCAAATTGAGTTTGCTTACTTAATTTCCTCACCTCTCCACATGATCTTCTGTTTGGCCTTGAACAACAGCAATACACACACCTGTAAGGTGTTTCCACTGTAGATCTCAGTCTGCTTCTTAGAAACTTCCTTTAGGTTGAAAGTTGTGTATGGTAGGTCATTCCTCCTACAGGACAATGAGGAAAGTGTCTAGAGGAACAGGGCCTGGTGACAGCAATGTGAAGGTCTCTACTGAGGTATCTTTAAGGAAAGACACCGTATATGGTAGAATTTCAAAGGAGCCCTACCTGCTGCATCTAATTCTTCAGCTACTGGGGTCTTGTGCAAAGCAGAGTCAACAGCGGAGCTAAGACCATGTAACAGATTTGCTAGCCTGGCTTGGCAGAAAAAAGAGACACTATAGCAAGCTGTGTTACATGTTTTTAAATGTTTTGTCTGTAAGAAACAATTGATCATATGTAGGTAGAACGTAAAGGGATTGTGCTATAGAGGATATGAAAAGGCTTAAAACAGGAGTTCATTATGCTAAAGAAGCATTTGCGCACTTTCACCTGCCCAGAGCAGTAAGTATTCCACCAATGTAACTATTCCTGTTACCAGTCATGGGGACATGAAATGAGCCTGACACAGATTTTCATCCCCAGAATACTGAACAGAATCACCTTCCAGAATCACAGCAAAGCCTCAGCATGATGCTCCCAGAGCCATCCCAGCCCATAGGTCAGGTCATGTGGAGCCAAAGGGGTCAGCTCATTTTTTTTTGGCTCACAGCACACTCTCCTTGTTTACTTTGGAAAGATCCTAAAACTAATTCTCAAAACACTAACATCCCATGAGTACATTTTCTGTCTCTGAGAGCAATAGAGAGAACAAATGTCCCCAAATACACTGCTGTTCATACAGAAATCAAGTGTGAAAATGTTGTTAGTTGAAGTCAGCAGGAGGCAGCCCTGGATGTAAACACTATTTAAGCTTTTTGGGTGTCATTCATTGTTAATGATGCTAAATAATGCATTCTGAACCTACTATCACACAATGCACAATACCTTCAGGGAGACTGAAGACTATGAAGGCCATTCAGTATTCAAGTCATCTTCTCCAGGGCATAATTCCCTCAAGATTTCAGTAGCTCTGGATGTGGAAATGCCTTTCAGCTGCCCAGAATCTTTAGAGCGGTTCTTTGGCGAGAGCAGAAAATTATTTATGTGCGTTCCAGGCTTCCTCCCAGCAGCTCTGCTCATGGCCATTGAAACGACAGTGACTCTAAATGTGTGGTTTAACATCATGAGTAGCAGCTGATAGCAGTGTTTGGGATGCTGCTCATAATGTATGACACTGAGCAGCCCAGTCCAGATGTGCTGACTCTTCCTGAGCAGCCCAGTCCAGATGTGCTGACTCTTCCTGCCCTTGCCAGATGTGTCTCCAGGGACAAGGAGCATGCTTAACCCTACGTCATTCTCTTTGAGTAGGAAGAAGGCAAAGTATCACCCTCTAGGTCATTTCTATCAACGTGTATTCATCTCCTTGACAACATTCTGAAAAAGGGCAGAGCTGCTCAGGGAGTGTATGTGAGTGTGCAAAGAGGTGCATCTCTTCCTATTTGTTATGTTTAGAAGGACATGGGAAAGCTGGCATAGAGCTTTGATTCAGGGAGCTAGATTCTTCCATCTAGAGACTGTCTCATTAGCAAACAGAAATTTTGTTCTGAAATAGAATGTGGGAAGATTGATTTCTGAATTTATTTTTTTTTAAGTTGGTATGAGTTACATGGATTGGAATGGCTTTGATGTTTTACCAACAATAAGGATATCTTGTTACTTTAATGATTTTAGAATAAAAACTGTACATGTATAGATAAGAAAACATCAGCATGGGACTACTTACTGAAAAGAAAGTACTTTTTTGAATATCTTTCAGAGTGAAATGTTGTTCAAATGGCAGTTTAAAAAAAGTTCTAATATAAAGGATGCTAGAACTCACTTTGGCAAAACCAACTTCTGATTTCTTATACCCAATAATTTGCTTTCAGAAAAAGATGCTTACCTCTGGCTCTGCTGCTTAAAAAAAGATAGCTGGAGGTTTTGGCTGCAAACAGTTCAATACTCCTCATTCGTGCTGTCATGCTGAGACAGGACTGTAGCTGTTGCTGGGCAGTGATTCTCCCCAGGGAGCAAGACTTCCTCTGTTCGTCAGCAGTCACTCTGGCTTTAGTTGATGCACATAAAATCTTACACTGTTTGATGCCTCAGACACAATTCTGTTGAGACACTGTCTTACACACTGTCACTGATATCATAATGACATGGGCTGTTTCTTACTAAATATGTGTTCTGTGCTGACAATCTTTTTGTTCAAGGACATGTTCATACTGAAATGTAATTTTTTGTCGTTTTTTTTGTTTTGTTTTGCCTTAGGTTTTTTTAATAAGGGCTTAATCTGACTAGGACATGAAAGGAAAACAGAAAAAAGGTTTTCAATTGAAGTAAATGGAAAAGTATATGATGAGAATCAGTATGTTCAAACCTTCTGAAAGCAGCAAAATGACAGAAACATGGATGTGGGCAGCTGTGTTACAGAACTTGAATCCACCTTGCTCTGAAACATAGACTCATAGAATGGTTTGCATTGGAAGGGACCTTAAAGATCATAGAGTTCCAACCCTCCCCTGCCATGGGCATAGACACCTTCCACTAGACCAGGTTGCTCAATGCCCCATCCAACCTGACAAGGATGGGTCATCCACAACTTCTCTGGGCGACCTGCACCTGAGTCTCACCAGCCTCACAGGAAAGAATTTCTTCCTAATCTAAACCTACTTTGTTCAACTTAAAGCCTTGCAATAGGGATATAGGCCCTTGTACAAAGCCTCTCTCCAGCTCTCTTGTAGGCCCCCTTTAGTTACTGGAAGGCCCTAAGGTTTCCTTAGAACTTCTCCAGGCTGAACAACCCCAGCTCTCTCTACCTGTCTTCACGGGAGAGGTACTCCAGCCCTCTGGTCATCTTTGTGGCCCTTCTCTGGACTCACTCCAGCAGGCCCACGTCCTAACACGAAGGTGAACTACTGCGGCTGTTTCTTTAGCCGAATTTTGACCTGAAAACTGACTTTTCCACACTGGAGTTGCAGTCCGTGAGTGCGGCAGGTGAGCAGGATGCCTTCTCCTGAGGACCGATCCCCGCCGTGTCGGCAGCAGTCCCGCCTCGCTTCGCGTCCGGGCGCGGCTGGAAGGGTCCGCGGGGCGGGGCGGGGCCGGGCGGGGCCGGGACCGGGATCGGGACCGGGGCCACTCCCGTCGAGGCAGAGGGGCCCGCCGCGGCAGAGGGTGCCGCTAATCCTCGCCGCCCTGACCATGCTGCCGGCCCTTCTCCGCCCCGGGCGGCTGCTGTCCGCCGCGCCGCTCCGCCCGCCCGCTCCGCGGGGAGCCGCCGCCGGCGGGGAGCCCGCCCGGAGCCCGGGCACCTCCCGCGGTAAGGGGGGAGAGGAGCTGCGGGGGACCAGCTCCGCAGCAGCGCCCCGGGGCTGACGGGGAGGTGTGCGGGCGGCTCGGGGCCGGGGTTGAGCGGGGCAGAGCTTCCCGGTGGTGCAGCCCGCGAGTGGCACGGCATCTCGGGTGCTTCCGAGTGTTCTCCTGCTGGCTTGGGTACCCACGCCTGCGGGCGGCGGGGATTCAAACCAGACCCGCGGGAACACTCATTGCATGTGCGGGTGCTCCAGAAACCCCGTGGAGGTCACTCTGCGTAGGCGAGACCTGAATGTCTAATGCCTGGGATTGCTCTTCCAATGACCAGGACGGTCAGGGTTTTCCCCTTCCACCGTTACTAGCAGACATCATTCACTCTTAGTGCACGGTTTGACGAAGTGTTTTTTTCCTAATCTTTAAGCTGAGCAGGCTCACAAGGTGGTTGCAAGTTACAAACCCTCCAAGTTTGACAAAAAAATCCTCCTCTGGACTGGTCGTTTCAAGACAGAAGAAGAGATTCCTCTGAGGATCCCGTAAGTACGCTGCCCTTGTCCAAGGGGAACATGGAGCTGAAGGGAAAGCAGTGGCGTGATTCTGATCTAAAGCTTTTCCACAGAGTTTAAAACAGTCGGTTTTTCAACACTGAAGACTTGAAAACAAATTAGAGGGCAAGAGAATTTCCTGCCCTGGTTAGAGGTTAAGATGAGAAAATGTTCCTTGCTGGAGTCCCCAGAGCCTGGGATGAGAACTGGATCCATCTGAGTAGACAGCCTTGGTTACATTTATGTACTGGCTTGTTTGTTTTGCTTATTCCTAATGTGCAATTGGAGAAGGATGTTATTGGTAAACAATAATTTCTGGTTTTAGCTCCCATAAACAGTTATTAGGGAGTTGGCTGTTACTGAATGATTACATCCAAAAATATTATTATTATTATTATTGAATTTCAGGAAAACTTATGGAAGTAAATTACAAGAGAAGCATTCCCCACCAAGGAAAACTGAGTACTTAATGTAGCCTTAACCTCCCATTCTTGTTGACCCACTGGACTAGAAGATCTTTGAAGGTCCCTTCCCACTCAAACCTGACTGTACGGTTCTTTGACTTGCTGAAAGTTAGCATCCCCCAAGGGAGTCAGCCACTAAACACATGAAACAGCTCTAATGCCAGTTGCTGCCTTTTCTTAGGATGTTAGTATGTTAGACGTCTCTCCAGGAAACTACTTTTTATCATCACAGCACATGTCTTTGGTGACATGTTGAGAATAAGCAGCATGCAGAGCTGTGTAAAAGTTACATCCTCTGCCTGCTCCTGTTGGTTTCTCACAGTTTTGCTGTTGTTTGCTGAGCTGGACAGTGGCTTTCTGAACGGTCTAACCTCTCTTGCACTGCGTTAGTCTCACCGTCCTCCCCTAGAGAAAGGTTCAGACAAGTCTCAGAAGCTGTAAATGCTATTCAAGTCATCAGGAAGTCTTTATAAAGACTCATTGCATTTGCCAGTCCATAAACATACATGCACACAAATCACTCATTTCTGTGCCATAGCTGGCCTAGCAAGTTCGTGTTACCACCTTGTGCTTTCTGGGTGAGCAAAGTCTTTTTACAACTGCAAGATCACAAGTATATACTAGAAGTAGCTAAAAGTGATACACTGAAGCTGAACTGTGACACTGTTTAACTGTTGTTTAAAAGAAAAAAGGATTGCAAGATGTTGCTCCCTGTGAATACAGTCTAGCTGCTGAGGATAGTTTGTACTAAAGGACAAATCTGCAATCCTTAGTCAAGGTTGTTATGGTTTGTTTGGGTTTTTCTAAAAACAGCTGTCACTGACTTCAGCAGAGATTTACCCAGAGTCTTGATTAAGGATTGAATAGTAAAGGCCGTAATGTGCAATTAGGGAAGAAAATTGTAAGGTCTGTTTTCCTTAAAGCAGAGGAAGTGAAAATCTGCTTCAGAAGAGCTTCAATTAGTGCATTGTGAAATATGATTAGGCTAATATGCTACGCTAATAACATTTATGGTTTTGCTTTTGTTGCAACAAATGGATTATTGGATTAGTAATTTTACGTGCTAGGTCTGATGTGTGGTCTGTTTTGAAGATGATTTTTACCATTGTACAAACCAGAAGCAGTTACTTGGAACTGTAGGCATTGTCAGTCATCTGCAAGAAACATAATGTGCTTGTGTGTGCCTTGGCAACGAAGGGGGTAGTACGGCATTGCCACTCATAGGATTTACCCTATTTCATTGCACTAAACCTCAGAGAGAACCACTGCAGCCCTCAGCCTTGGTACAGGCTTCCATGGGCAGAACTTCCACTGTAAAAACTCCAGCTCTGCCCAATCCCACCACATTAACTTTTAAAGTAAAGCTAAAGGTGCTTTGGGGAAAGAGATCATTACACGATCTTTACTTAAAACAAAAAAATCAATTTGTATTTATATTCTTTATCTTACAAATATCATGGCTGGGCTTCGTGAAATTGGGAGGGGAAGACTTGGGAAGGGCTCTACCCACATTTGTCACAAACGCGCTGGTGCCTAAAAAGGCCAATACGAGACAGGCATGTCCAGTTGCAAAAGGCACAGTAGAAAGTATATTCTGCAGGGCACAATTCTTTCTGCATTGTCTTTTCTCCTCGAGAGTGATCCTGCATGCTTTCTCAAAGGCATCAGCGTTATAGATGGTGTGTCTCCAGATCTCCCAATTGGAGGCTGGAGTAGACCAATTATGTTGATCAATATGGCCAAGGCTGAGATGTTGTTTCAGGGAGTCCTTGTATCTTCTCTTCGGGGCTCCTCTCTTGCGGCAGCCAGTGGCAAGTTCACCATAAAGCAAGATCTTAGGGAGGCGGTGATCCTTCATCCTTGAGACGTGTCCTGCCCAGCACAGCTGTGTTCTCAGCAACATGGCCTCAATGCTTGTGACAGCTGCTTGTTCTAGAACAGATGTATTGGTCACATAGTCTGACCAGTGGATGTTTAGGATTGTATGAAGGCAGCGTTGATGGAAGCGTTCTAGGAGACACAGGTGGTGGTGGTAGACGACCCATGATTCAGATCCATATAAGAGAGTAGACAGCACTATGGCTCTGTAAACACTGATCTTGGTACTTTTATTCAGGTGTTTATTTCGCCAAACTCTTTTATGAAGCTTTCCGAAGGCACTATATGACTTTGCTAACCTGTTGTCTATCTCTCTGTCGATCTTACCATCCGAGGAGATGAGGCTCCCTAGGTAATTAAACTGCTGGACTGATTTGAGCACTGATTGGCCAATGGTGATATGGGGATGATGGAAGACATCCTGAGGTGCCGGTTGATAGAGAACTTCTGTCTTCTTCAAACTGACTTCCAGCCCAAAGAGCTCAGCAACGTCTGCAAAGCAGGATGTTAAACGCTGCAGAGCTGCTTCTGTGTGGGTGACAAGGGCGGCGTCATCAGCATAAAGCAGCTCCCGGATAAGATGGTTTAAGGTCTTAGTGTGGGCCTTCAGTCGCTTTAGGTTGAATAGGCTTCCATCAGTATGATATCGAATGTAGATACCGTCCTGATCCTCAAGGTCTGCCATGGCCCTTTGGAGCATCATGCTGAAAAAGATTGTGAATAGGGTTGGTGCAAGAACGCAGCCTTGTTTCACACCATTAGTTATTAGAAAGGGCTCAGAAAGTGCATTGCCATCTCTGACTTGGCCGTGTTGATCCTCATGGAGTGAGAAGATCATTTTGAGGAACTTGGGGGGACAACCTAAGTGTCCCAAAATCTGCCATAGATCTTTTCTGCTCACAGTATCGAAAGCCTTGGTGAGGTCAACAAAGGTTACATAGAGACCTTTGTTCTGTTCCCTACACATCTCTTGCAGTTGTCTGAGAACAAATATCATGTCTGTGGTACTCCTGTTGGCTCTGAAACCACATTGGTTTTCAGGTAGAATTCCTTCTGCTATAGCGGGTATTAGTCTGTTCAAGAGTATTCTTGCCAGGATTTTGCCAGCAATGGAGAGCAGAGTAATACCACGGTGATTTAAACAGTCTGTTTTAACTGCTTTCTTCTTATATAGGATGATGATGACTGCATCTCGAAGGTCTGATGGTAGTTTGCCTAGTTCCCAACAGCGTAGTATGAACTCGTGAAATTTAGCATGGAGTACAAGGCCCCCATGTTTCCAGACTTCAGGTGGAATTCCATCAACCCCAGCTGCCTTGCCTATTTTCACCTGCTGAATGGCCTTAAGGGTTTCTCCTAAAGTGGGGGCAGTATCCAATTCATACTTCACCAGTTGTTGTGTGATGGATTGAATGGCTGTGTCTTGGACTACACAGTTGGTACTGAAAAGGGTCTGAAAATGTTCAGACCATCAATTCAGAATGGAGGTTTTATCTGTCAGAAGCGTTTGACCATCAGTGCTGAGTAGAGGACTTTGGGCTTGGTATGTAGGCCCGTATGCTGTTTTCAGGGCTTCATAGAATCCTCTGTGTTCACCCGTATCTGTGCATAACTGTGTTTTTTCAGCTAGATCGATCCACCACTTGTTCTGGATGTCACGGAGTTTCTGTTGGAGTTTGCTGCATGTAAGGCAAAAGGCTGTTTTTCTTGCATGACAGGATGGCAGTGCAAGGTGTGCTTGGTGGGCGGTTCTCTTCTTACTCAACAATTCCTGGATCTCTTGATTGTTTTCATCGAACCAGTCCTTGTTCTTCTTGAGGGAGAACCCTAAGGTTTCTTCAGAGGATTGCAGGATGCTATTTTTAATATGGTGCCAGAGTGTTACAGGAGAGGTATCTGTAGAATCTGTGGAATGGTTATCAAGCCTACTTTGAAGATTAGCCTGGAATTTGTTTCTCACTGTGGCTGATTGGAGATTGTTAACTTGGAGTCTCCTCCTTGGGATACTGTCCCTTTTAGGTTTGAATTTAAGATTGAGGTTAAGTTTACAGTGCACCAGTTGATGGTCTGTTTGACATTCTGCGCTGGGCATCACGTGGGTGCGGTGGACATCGCGGACATCTCTCCGTCACACCAAGACATAATCGATGAGGTGCCAATGTTTGGATCTGGGATGCATCCATGTTGTCTTCAGACTCTTTTTCTGCTGAAAGATAGTGTTAGTGATGGTGAAATGTTGCTCCGCACAGAATTCTAGCAGAAGTCGACCATTATCATTGCAGCTTCCAACACCACGCTTGCCTAATATTCCTTTCCAGGCTTCAAAGTTCTTTCCTATTCTGGCGTTGGAATCACCAAGGATAATGATCTTATCATCTGCAGGAACCTTCTGGGTAAGGCAGCGCAGGTCGGTGTAAAATTTATCTTTTTCAGCAGGTTCAGCTTGGAGAGTTGGGGCATATATACTAAAGAGGACAACGTGTTGCTTGTTGTGTAGTGGAAGGCATAGGGAGATAATTCAGTCAGAATGACCTGTCGGCAGATTTTCAAGTTTAGGAACAATAGAGTTTTTGATCATGAAGCTGACTCCTGAGATATGCTTTTTGGTTCTGGGCTTACCTGACCAAAAGAGTGTTTAACCAGCACCATGTTCTCTGAAGCTGCCTTCCTCATGAAGGTGAACTTCGCTGAGAGCAGCAATGTCGATGTTGAGACGTGACAGTTCATGGGCGATTAGGGCAGAACGACGCTCAGGACGTCCGCTATCCGCAGAATCGAGCATGGTTCTGATGTTCCAGCATGATAGAGTTAATTTGGGTACACCTTTGGAGGCAGGTGTATGTGCCTTTGTCTTTTGATCTTTGTGTGACTGCATTTGTAGAAGATGTCAATACAGGGCTTCGCAAATGTGGGTAAGGCCTTCGAGCGTGTGCAATGGATTTTTTAGGTGAGACACAGTATGCCCGGAACTGAACCCACCCTTTAATCCTAAAGTTCATCTGCCAGGGCCGAGCGAGCTTGGATGGTGGCAGCAAGGTCCTCAGGACGTAGGTTTAATTAGAGTGACCTTCTCTTAGATGGATGGCCTTACAGGGCTGATCGAGCTCCATCTGCCCAGGTTTAGAGCTGTCCTTCTCTTCTGTGTGTTCTGGGCTCCCCCTCTCATCTCCCACGCTGGCACAATCCGCACCGGCGAAGCTCCCCCTCTCTCGCTCCTTTCTGCACCTGGGGCTGGGCCCGAGCGCTCGGGGTCGTCTGGGGCCGTGCCACGTGCACGCGTTCCGGGGCCGGCCGGGGCCGCGCCGCCACACGCCCTTACAAATATGTATATATATAAAAAGAATACCCATGATGGTTTATGAAAGGAAAATGGTGCACAGCCAGCATTATTATGAACACCTTAAAAACTCTACTCCCATGCAACTGTACACGTCTGACTTGGAAAAAGACTGAGCTGAAAGTTTTGGGACAATTTTCATGATTTCCTGTACTGCTGGTTCTGAGCAGCCTGCTCAGAGCAGAGGAGGGTGGAAATGGGAGCTGCACCAATGCAGGTTGCTGGGCTGTACATCTCTCTTGCAGCAACTACTGCCACACAGAGGGCAGAAGTTCTCACTACTTCTGCCTTTGATGACCAGCAAAAATAATCATATAGCTTGTTCTTGTTTAAGTGTACATTTCTGTGATAGTGATGTGGCTGACATCAGCTGCCCACTTTCTACAAGGCTGCTGCTTTAACAAAGAACTAAAATCTCTAACTCACAGCAGTACAAACTCTGCTTTAATCCAATCCATGTATTTAATGTCCTTAGCCTACAGGACACCACCTAGACAGCTTAGATATGACAGTAATTGATTTCTAAAGTGAATTTTGAACAAAAGGAACTTGCTTTCATCCCATCAGGTTGACACCACATTTATTTCTGCATCTATTTAAAACAGATTAACCCCCTTAATTTTCACTATGTTTAAACAGAGCTTAAGGTACGATTTCTGGTGTATTCATTTAAATGCAAACATTTATTGCCTGAGCAATTTTTTCAGCTTAAAAATAAATAAATAAATAAAAAACCAGCCTAAATCCATTAAATGTTGCTTTTCCGTGGGAAATGGATTAGGGTCAGAAAATGAGTGGTGCATAACCAACCACAGCAAGCTGAAGATGCTTGTTTCAGAAGGTAATTATACTTTTATTTTTCAGTTGTGATGTTATGTGTGTGATGCTTTGAAGAACAGATACTTTACTGCTTTGTAATGATTCAATTCAACAATTTTAATTGCAGGCCAGAGATGCTAGACAAGGCAAGAAACAAAGCTCGAGTGAAAGCTTGTTACATCATGATTGGACTCTCAATTGTTGCCTGCTTTGCAGTGATTGCTTCAGCTAAAAAGGTGAGTATGGCCATGTAGCATACTTTCAAATTACAGAATTCTGTGAAAAGTAGACTAACCTAAACCAGGAGCAGCAGCTTACAGCTACCCAAGTTTTAGCTGACCTGGTCTCTGCCAGCTCCCAGTATGTAAGTAGTTGCTGTCTGTTCCTGAGGTTGGGTAGCTCTCCGTGGGTGTATTGTTACTCCTACCACACTACTCTTCAGATGTTTTACTTCCACAGGCTGCTGCACGCCACGAGTCCTTAACAAGCTGGAACTTGGCAAAGAAGGCCAAGTGGCGGAAGGAGGCTGCGCTAGCCGCGGAGTCAAAAGCAAAGTAACTTCATATGAAATGCCAAATGCCCTTCCAGGAGCAAAATTAACTGTTGCTGAGAGCAATTAGCGAGTTTCACCCATACATGGACAATAGTATGCACACACTGGAGCCAATAAGGGCAGTTACAGCATCACAAAAAGAAAGGGAGGATCTCTTTTATTAGGGAGATATTTGGTGTACGTGTTGCATATAGTTAAAGTTAGTTAGAATGTTTGGCATATGCTTAAAAGCAGTAATTCATTTTAAAGGAGATGAGGTAGTTTTGTAAGAATATCAGGCATCTTTAGTTAGATAATGACAAAATACTTAAACCCACAAAGTTTTCTGTCTGGGACAGCGCCTAGTTTTTCAGCACACAAATCAGACAGTTTGAACTCATTTGCATCAATGCTGTATTCAAAACGGTATTTGCATTTCCTAGTTTAAGAAGCCACACTTATTGAACCACTAAATAAATACAATAAACATCTGTAAAATAGGTTTTATTGGTTTCTGTACGGTATTTGGAGATTTAACATTCCATAATATTGCATACTACTCATATGTGTTCTGTTACGGTAATGGGCCTTTGGCCTGGATTTAAAGATGCACTATTACTATCTGAAGTTAATATAGGTAATGTAGTTTCCACACATTATATGAAGACATTGTGTCATAAGTTGCTGAAATTTCTCATTCCAGATTTCAGAGAACTCTTAAGGTCACAGTTGAAGTTCACATATCCATTTTCACACTTATTACAAAAATCTTCAGTTGTACAATTTAATAAATTTAAACCAACCGAGAATTAACCACAGAGGAAAGACAATAGTGCATCTTTACTATTTTCTTAAAGACAGGTCCGACAATAAATAGTTTCCAGTTGCAAACTTGTTCTACAGCTAACATTTCTGTGCCAACATTATCACTATTTTCTGATTGCTGCTAGCAACAGTGTTCAATCAAAGCAAATACTAGAAAATTAAAAAGCTGTATGAACCAGTCCTTGGACAAAAGTGCAATGATGAAAAAATTAGATATGATTCAGTGTAACAAGAGAAGGGAACTAATAAAAAAATCTTATGCTCTGCATAGTTGCATAGATTAGCTAGTTAGTACTCACATTTAAACGGAACAAATGGTACCCTTTTAATAAAACCAAACCCCTTTATTTTTAAATAGACTTTGTAAATGATGGGGAACTTCAGATTCCGTATTAGATAGCAAACTTTAAGACACTTTCATATCACAATTTTATTTTGTTTTTCTCTCCATATCGGTTTCATCTGTTTAGGCAACATCATCACAAACATGCCCCTTCCTGCAAATGAGTAAAACAGAGTTGACTTTAAGTCATAATCTCTGATTTTATATTGTTCATTTATGTGCTTTTAACAAAGTATGAAGTAAACCCAGTGATAAGATAGGAGAGGCCATCCTGTATATTTATCCTTTAAAGGATTTTCAGCATTATTTTTTAACAATTTTAGGGTAAACCAAATGTTGAGTTTAAATAATGACTTTCATTATCCAAAGTTCACCGATTTTAGTTCCCTTTTAAACTGTTCCATTTAAATGTATCAGAGGTATGAAATACAGTTTATCTAAATGTGTAAAGTGCAGTCACTAACTGTTCACACATATAGAATAATATATTCACACAACTGAAGACATTCCTTCGAAACAAACAGAATACTTTAAATGTCCCCTCTTTTCTTCATTTTCAAGTCTTTCAACCAAGACTTTCAGAGCTCAGATTTGGTTTAAATAAGAGAGGCTTATAAGAGAGGCTTTTTACAGGGTTCTTCAAATAAAAAGCAGGCACAGCTGGTTGTGATCAAAACAAGGTTGTTAGAAACAAAGAAATACCCTGTTACCTGAATAATTTTCTTACATTAGAACAATATTGAAATTCAGCATTTGCTACTAATCTTGGTAGATTTCCATGATTGTTACCCTGTACTCTGATAGATGGGGGATGAAGGGGGGAGCATGTGAATGAAGGAAGGTTGGTGTATGAAAACCTAAAACTATGAGAGTAAAAAGGGCATAAGTACAATCACCTAACATTATACGAAAATTTGGCAGCTGTACTCAATATTATCACACTACTCAAAACTGTTGTATGCTGTACAAATCTAGGTTTAAAGTGTCATTTGCTAAAATATCTCATTATTCAGAGTTCATAAAGTAACAGCACTCCTATATACACTTCTTATACTTCTATCTTCCACTAAAAAGACTTCAAAGGGAGGTTTCTTCCCTCCCAGTTACATCTTAGTCAAAACTGACCATTAATCTTAGAAAATCCACTTTAAGTCCCACATTCAATTACAATATAGAATATATTGCTGTAACAGCAAAGTGAAACATCTTAGAATCTTAACTTGCATGTAAAAAAAATTCTAAATATAAAATGGTACTGTAAATGATACCACCTTTAACCTGTATTTTTTCAGTGCATTAAAATATTGTTTAGTGATAAGCACAGTGCCATGGGTGAGTGATTTGAAGTTTAAACTGCAGCTTTTTATGAAGCATGAAATGCTCTCATATGTCAAGGATTTCACTTAACCCAGGAGTTTGATGTTAATACATTAATTACAGGTAACAAAAAATAGCAATACTTCAGAGATAACTCAAAGTATTAATTTCTCCAAACAATATATACTACTAATACACCAGAAACACTACTTATATGCAAGTTGAAGCAGAGTATACATTTTTCTGTATTCAAAACTGTTAACATAAAATATCAGAATTCTATTTCTTTTAGTGTTTAACAGCAAACATGGCATATTGTAGAGCCTAAATATTTAGATGACAATAACTTCTAGTTAGTTTTGGTGTCCACATACTTAATGCTATTTACAGTACAACAAACTTTTCCTTCAATTGGAAAGGAGTGATTCACTATTCATTCTTCACTGCAGTATTTCTATTGTCTTAGCAAAAGAAAACTGAATTCGTTAACTTAAGGAACAATTCAAGTGGCAGTAGCATATTTGGTCAAAAAACAACACCTACTGTCTAAACTTTTAAGAAGCTACTGTACTAGAAAGGCAAACAATGTTTCTCAAACTAAAGTGGTGTTACCACATTTTGACAGAAGACAGCTGTAAACCATCTGCTTGGTGACTTGTGCAAATCACCATCTCTGTCATTCATAATTGCAGCATTCTTGTGGTAACTACAGCAACTGCTTCCACTGCAAAGTACTGCAGTTGTGGCTGACTTGTAATGTCATTTAGCAGCTTTCATTACAGAGCCAACATCAAATGACCAGCAAGCTCTCTGCTGATTCCAATTTGAAAACTTCTGAAATAGTCTTCTTCCCACATAATTCAGAAAAAACTTTTTCATATATTCAGTATTATATCAGGTAATTAGCATTATATACGTATATCTATTATGTCTTTAAATACATTTTATAAATAAACTTCAACAGTGTGTTGTAAAGTAAGTAATGCATAAAAGTTTCACAATTTAAATAAATATTTTTCACATTCCAATTCAGCTTCTTACAAGCTCTTCTTTATTTCATGCCTTGGTTTTGAAGCAATGTTTCTGCTTCAATACAAGAGGTAGATTTGATAGAGACTGGGCAAGTCAAGCTTACTGCCAAAAATGCAACTGTCAGTAACTGTATTGCTGATATGAAGTTTGAGACTATATGAAAAATTCAGAACCACTACCTAAAATTCTACCAAGTCTTAGCTTAACAGTTCTTGTTAAATCACATTTAATGCTTTTAGACATGATTACTCACAGTTGTTTTCTGTACATAGGAAATAATGAAAAACACAAATACAAAACAGAGAATAGTTGTCTCTAACACAATATATGAAAGTGCATGAGCTGCTTCTTCATCTATTTCTGCAAAACATATTCAGCTTTTCCTCTAACTTTGGCCAGGAAGAAAAGACCTCTGAGAAAAAAAAAAAACAAAAAACCAACCAAAACCCAAACCGTACAAGTGTTTAAATGTTATGCTTGTATTCACTTCAGTAGTTTAGAGCTGGAAACCCTCCATCGGAGCCTCCTGCTGTTGAAACACAAACTGCTGCTGACTGTCATCCACCTGAGGTGCAATACTAGAGTCCTCTTCTTCAACACCAAAATAATGTTCTATAAGTTCGAAAGCCTTTTGGTAGATCTCTTGGTTTTCATGCCTCTGAAGAAATTCAATTTTATCAAGTCCTAAATTCAAAATAAAACATTTTCAAAAATCTAGTAGCTTAAATGAATGATGAATTCAAAGAGAAACAGCTTACAGCATGGTACTTCTTAAATAAAAAAATGCAATCCCAAATCACCTCAATTAATTCAGTATCATTGATTGTTAATTTCCTAACCCATGTATTTCTACTTCAGTTTCTGCTGTCCAAATCAATTTTAAAACTATGCTAAAAGCATATCGGTTAAACTGGGGAGCAGGCTGTAGTATCTCCAAAGAAACATGCCACGCCTATAAAGAAATTGAATCTGTATAGAATTAAGATAGCATAAAACTGTTTGCTATAACAATTTCTCATATGCCAGTTTCTTTTCTTTTACTCTTTCAGTCTTCCCCAACTCTAAATTCTATCTCCAATCATGTAGTCGTCACTGGCACAGTCTGGTATCTTTTTTCAAATGTAACTGGGAGATTTGAAGATATTATCTTTCCAAAGGCTTATCATATGCAAGCTAGAGGACGTAACCTCTCCTCTGTTGGCTGAATTAAATCTTTGGCCGTCAGTTAGGTTGATACAAAATTGCTGGTTAGCTATTTTAAATAATTCAGTTTTCACTTAAGTTGGATTAAGGTCAAGATAAAGGCCTAAGTTAAGAGGTTAAAGCAGTGAGGGTGATATAATAAACTGTTTTCCCTTCTTGAACTTATACTCTGCAGCTTCAGCAGCCTATGCCTAAGTGGTAAGGGAAAAAAGAGAACCTAGATATTCAACAGTTAAAATTATGAATGGACTCAAATCTGGAACAGAACAAATTCCAATATAGTATTCAGTACTTATTCCTCTTAAACATTAAATTGCAAAGTTCTTCAACTATGCACTTGATTTTAGAAATAAAACTCCGTAACAGGCAATTCAGATCAAAGACTGCTTTACAGAAAAGTCAGTACCATCTAATCAGATATAATGTGGTCAACTAGAACTGTTACTAACAGTTTCTGAAATACAAATGTCTGCCAGTTTTGTTGGGTCAGAGCTACAAAAAAGATAACTCTCCACAAATAATGCCAATTTCATTGTAAGTCAATTTTAACACTGATTTTGTTAAATCAAAAGCCTCCAGTCCTGGAATTCCACAAATTAGTTTTGATAGTCTGCCTTTAAAACATGGTTCAATTCAGTAACTTTTATAAGAAGAAGAAAATACTATCACAAGGAAAAACTTGCTCAGTTTTATGGTCTGAAGTTGATTTTGCTGTTACTGATATTTACTATGCTAAGTGATCCAACTTTGGGAATCAGTAAAACAAACCCTGATCTCGCACCC